AAGGGGGACCTTCACCTCTTTTTTCTCTCCTTTTCCTGTCCCGCTCCCCCCCCCCCCACCCCCCCCCCCCCCTTTTCTTCCCCCCTCCACCCAGAGGGGTGCTATATCTATAGAAATACGGCATATTTCAGCGACGCACATCCAGCGGAGTGCTAGTCTATAAACAAGTGGCAACTGGGTTACAATAGCGGTCAGCAGAAAAGAGGATTTAGGTGGAAGCGCGGCTATGTCAGCCGCTGATCGTTCCGAGAGGTGGTGGCAGAGCGGGCGCCCTGATAACTGAAAATAGTTACAACCACACATCGTGCTTTGGAACCCACCATTCTACGATAGCTCACCCCACATGGACACAGATGTAACCCCTCCGCGTTCAAAATAATCGAAGCACTAGTGGTCCGCACAAAGAGATGCTCGCCCATCCTACGCGGGCTACTGCGACTTTCTAGGTCGTTCAACCCTTCCGAAGCTCTACCCGCGTTCAGCGTTGATGCACTACGCGCTATCCGTTTTGACAAAATTGAGGTCATCGCGACCGGATTTTGGTCGCTTCCTACAGAAGAGGGAGTCGGGATTCGGAGATCCCTCCTACGGGACTCCCAAATGCCTCGACTTTGTTTAGGGACTTATTTTACAGCATTGAAGATCGATACAATGACGCATATAGATCAAAAGATGGCGGTGGTTAGCCACACACACACGACCGCCAGCGCACCTATATTTTAGGAGACGTGTTGCGCAATTCCTTGGGTTTATTTTTAAACACCCTCCTACTGTGTACACCTTTATCAATCTGCTAATCACCATCTTCCAGAGAAGTCGTTTGTATAGTATCTATATCCACCGTGTCTGGAAGCGTAAATGTCGCCTTCTATAGATGATGGAGATTAAAACCGTTGTACCACAATCTATCTTCAGAGGTAAGATTTGCCATTCAGAACCGGCTACCGTCATTAGTCTTAGCGCTGAGACACAAAGAACTGCACAGGCTATGATCCGGAATTCCCTTCATCAGCGGTGGGTGCCTCCACCCACGGTTTGTGCTATACTGTTTCCGAGGTAGCATGTTTCTTCGCTGTATGATCATCTCTGTGGCATCGTGCCATGTGACTCCTTGATTGTCAATCTACAGCCACGGACACCCCCAGATGACCTGACCGTAAATCGCTAGTCCAGTGTAGTTTTAGTTCGCGTTCTGCAGGGCTGGTCACTGATAGTATATCCATACTAACCATCCTACTCTCGTGTTCTCTGGAAGGTGCCATCTCGTTCTCTACTCACAGCCGCGGAAACGCTGAGTGGGTGTGTATCATGGACGCTTTTTACTCGTTTTACGCTGCCCACCCACACGCTCGCTCGTCTAGTCGATTCGTCACAACAGTGGTTGTGCGGCGCTGTGCAGTGTGTCCGTGGGTCAGGTCAGTGGTGTCAGCGTGCGCACCTCTTGCTCCTGGTGCGTGGAGTCAGCTGGTTCGGGAGGTCAGTGCAGCATCGAGGGGTCAGTGGTTCCGGCTTTGGGTCGCGAGACTGCCCCACTTACACGCGCCCACCACCCAGTCAGTAGTAAACACCACGGGGTCAGTGGTTCCGGGGTCAGTGGTTCCGGGGTCAGTGGTTCCGGTGTTGTCAGTGGTCCGCCGTTGGTGCCGCACATGTCGCGAGGAGTGAAGCCGCCGTGTGCCGCACCGCCACCATGGTTGTCACTCCCCTGATGACCTGTTGTGCGCGCTAACCAGTGCTAAGAGCTCGGAGGTGTCCGTTTGCTTCTCTGCACGCAGAATAAGTTTGTTTCTTCATAATAGAAATCGTAAACGATACTGTTTTCATGAATGTGGATGATGGGGACGTTTACACCAGGGTTTCCTTGGGGTCCTTGGGGTCCTTGGGGTCCCTGCGGTCCTTGGGGTCCCTGGGTCCTTGGGGTCCTCTGGGTCCTTGGGGTCCCGGAATAACCTTTACGCAAATGGAATCAAACCCGACAAGCAAGCACGGCAGTGTCCTCACCACTGAGTGACGATACCGGTCTACATCATCAACCGTTAGTATGGGACCTGTATAAGGGAGCTCACATCCAGTGACAGCCAAGGACACTATAAAAATTGCGATGAGCAATTTTTTCATCAATTACCTCCATTCTTATTTTATGGTAGATTTTAGAATTAATTGGACATTAGCATTGGCGAGGTTAGGAATGCAGATCGCATGAATCAACGCCGAGTGCGCGTGTGGCACTCGTCGGGGCGAGTACGCCGCAAAACCTCGCCAGCGGTAGTAGAGTATTTTGTGTATACTTATTTTTAGGCTTTACCATAGTTAACGTCAGTTCGACTTAAACATTTGGCGTATGCTGAAGGTTCGTTTTTCGTTTATAGAGGAATCAGTTGGAACGTAGAAGTTATTGGAGTTACGCTATCCTGACCACCTATCATTGTGAATATTGCCTTATGGTTGGGGAATAAACCGATGACGCTAATAACCATTTCATTTAATTTCGTTGAAACGAAGAATTGAAGGGCATCTCCGCCGGGACCACCTTTGGTTTGTGCAACATCCCTTACTACGGGGATTTGATTACCATTCTCATCTGTCTCGTAAGATGTCGTAAGGTTGTACACAAAGCCGTTTTCATCTCTGGTGTGTACTGTGACCTGAAGTCCGGTGTCCACATTAAAATTTGTTCCTGCCCCCACGGGTGTGTCACCGCGTCCGTCACCATTTCGATCTTCTTGGTGGGTTATCCACACGATCCACCCTACTTTCTTGTTTGTATTGACAGCATCTGGCTGTACTGTTGGCACCGTCGGATCAGCGTTGTTGCCGCCGGTTGTAGAAACTACCATTGCCATCCTGCTCTTGTGCTGTCAACTGCTCTATAATCTGGGTGGTGTCCCTCTGCTGCTCTGCGCGCAGAATCAGTCTGTCTTCATAATAGAAATCGTAAAGGATACTGTTTTCATGAATGTGGATGACTGGAGCGTTTACACCAGGGTTTCCCTGGGGTCCCTGTGGTCCTTGGGGTCCCTGTGGTCCTTGGGGTCCCTGTGGTCCTTGGGGGTCCTCTGGTTCCTTGGGGTCCCGGAGTCAGCTTTACGCAGAGAGAGTCAAGTCCGTCTTGCAGGCAGACAGCGTCCTCACCCGTCGAGTAAAGATACCGGTCTACATCATCAACCGTTAGCATGGGGCCTGTATATGGGATCTCACATCCAATGACGGTCAGAGACACTATAAAAATTGCAATAAGCAATTTTTTCATCAATTACCTCCATTCTTATTTTAGTTATTTTATTGGAGACGCGGACGCTGCCAGCCAATGCGTGATTGTAAAGCAGTCCGTTTAACCCTAAGGAATACAAATAGTGCCTTTCAATTCGTTAGCCAATTGAATATTATTCAAAAACCTTAAAACCCACTGCGGTTATCGCCTCTGTGAGATTTGCTGGGGTAACGCGCGAGGCATCGAAATGAACGACAGCCTCGGCTTTGCGTAAGTTTACCTTCGCACGCCGAACGCCCGGAAGTTCTGTGAGTGCATCGGTTACCGTTTTGACGCAATGTTGACAGGACATTCCATCGATTTTCAATTTCGTTTTATCCATGATTTTATGCCTTTGTAGGAAAATTGTACTTGCATGACGGACAGGTTTGCGTATGTGTGCGAATTGCCAACCCACACGCAGGACAGATACGTTTCATCCGAAAACGTTCAACAAGACGAGACACGATAACGATTCCCAAAAAAAGAATAATGAGAAAGGCAACTTCCCAAAAACCGATAGACACCCTTGACTCCCCGCCGTTCTTTAGACGCAATCGGGAAAACCTGCAGACCACTTTACACACTTAATCCGCGTAAGGTTGTGAGGTTTGTCTCGTGCATTGTCTCCATTTGTGGTGTTTCAATAATGAGCGGAATTTCCGCGAACCGGGAATCGTTGAGGATATAAGCGAATGCGGTTGCACCGATATTGCCATCGCCGATGTGTTCATGCCGGTCCACGCGACTCTGATAGGTCGATTTTGCGTCGTTGAGATGAAAAGCCTTTAATCGCGCTAAGCCGATGACCTCGTCGAACTGATTAAATGTTGACTCGCAATCCGTCTCAGTCCGGATGTCGTAGCCAGCAGCGAAAACATGACAGGTATCCAAACAGACACCAAACCGATCTGGGTATTTTTGACATACCGATGACATCACGCAAATGTTCAAAGCAGTAGCCAGTTCGTGCCTTGCCCAGCGGTGGTTCAAGGAGAACAGTGACAACATCATCGATGTCTCAACGTTTCAATAGAAAATCGAAACTTTCGCTTAACAGTTTTAAGCCGGGCTCCTCACCTTCGCCGAGGTGCGAGCCGAGGTGCGTTACGATGTATCGGAGACCGAGTGTATCCGCAAGTTCCATCTGCTCCTGAAACTGTTGGCGTGATTTTTCGAGGACATCTGTTTTCGGTGAGGCGAGATTGCTCAAGTGAATATCGTGAACAATCACTTCCCCAATCGGAGATGCTGCCCAGGCATCGCGAAACGTATCAATTACTGCCGGGATCGGCGGTTTCACCGCCCACCGGTTTGGGTTTCTCAAGAAAATTTGGATTGTGTCGCAGTGGAGTTTGTCGCCGTTTGTAATGGCATTATGTAAGCCGCCTGAAGTAGATACGTGTGCGCCGAGGATCATATTTTTACAAGTTTCGGGTGTTTTTGCTTGGGTGTTTCCCACACCGAAATTGGATATCTCCCTATTATGTCTGTAATTAGACCTATTTAGCACTCTATGTTATTAAAGATACAACAAAAAAGCAACGAAGTCAAACAAAAAGCGTTTAAAATATGTTACGGGGGAGTGTTTGTCAAAAAATACTTTAGAAATTTAATAGCGACTTATTTCTCTCCGCTCAACCCACCCTATACTGGAGGACATTTAATTTGCAATCCAAACGAAAAATAGATTAACCTCAAATAGACATACCAGATTATTTTCTATACAGGACAATCTGACAATGACAATGTCCCAACATGATTATAAAGCAAGTTTCATGCCAATTTCTCAAATAAAATGTATCTTCGCGTCAAAACTGCCGATATTCCAAGCGTGTTTTTTGCTGTAATGGGTCTAAAATACAGATACCTATTAGGTTTATCGGATGAAGGTAAGCATCAATTTTTTTCTGTAAAAAAACACATCCGCTGAAGAAGTTAAATCTATTTGTAATTTCCCAACTGCTAAACATCGCAGAAATTGGGTGTCAATCCACACGAATTGTATGTTATACACAAAATTTCCGAAGCGAAAGACACCGCTATCGGATACTATAAGGTTAGGAAATTATCAATCGATGAGACCTTACTACGGATGAACGACTGTCTTGACCCCAAGCCCCGCGCCAGCATTATCGAACGCCGCTAAACCTTGTTCAATTGGAAACCGATCTGTTAACAGCGGCTCAAAATTGAGTGTTTTTTCTATCAGGTGCTGCCGCGACTCTTCAAGACTGCGCTCGGGAAAATGCCCACGAAGCCATCAGTTTATGACCCTGCATAGTGGAATTCTTCTAAGTTGATAGTGAGCGTTTCGCCATCCGGAGCGAGCCCAAAGAAGTTGACGCATCCCCCTCTGCGGACAATATCAAAAGCGAGTGTAATTACGGACGCATTGTTGGTTGTGGAAGAGATGACAGTATCAACGCCGCCGCGGGTGATGTCCTGGAGCTGCGCGATAGCCTCGGGTGAGGCATCAAAAGTGAGATCGGCACCGAGGGTTTCGGCGACAGCCCTGCGGTGCGCCAGCGGTTCAAACACATAGGTTGTCAAACCCGCTCGCTTCGCCAATTGCGTGAACATCAAGCCGATGGGACCGGCACCCAGAATAGCAACAGTATTCTTGAAAAGTGTTTCCCGCATTGCATTCAGGCAGCACCCCAAGGGTTCCAGAAAGAGTAACGCTTCAGGTAGAACGCTGTCGGGCACTCGGATAAGTTTGCCGGTATCCACGCCGTGTTTTGGCATTCGCATATATTCGGCGTAACCCCCATCAATATCGTGACCGATGCCCTCAATGGTATTGCAGTATTTGTCCAGATCGTTCTGGCATTCGGGACATACACCGCAGGAAAGCATCGGATTGACTGTAACCCGTTCCCCGATTTTGACATCGGGGTGTCGACTCTCTACCACTATGCCTGCGAGTTCGTGTCCCATCACGATGGGTGGCGCGTAATCCGATACATCTCCACGTAGCGCGGCGAGGTCAGACGCGCAAATACCGCAGAGTTCTATCTCAATGAGCACATCACCCGTAGTAAGTGTCGGGATGGGTTTCTCATGAATACGTAATTGCTGAATTTTCTCAAAAACGATAGCTTTCATTTTTTTAATTAGGACTTACGCACGTTGCTCTTTTGTAGCATAACCTGTTAGGTTGTGTCAAGAAACCGTCTCGTTTTGTTTTAACGATCTCTTGTCAGGGCGCAGGGCGATGCTCAAAATTGCGTAAGTCCTGTTAATTATGGACATGTGGGTCGCTACGTCCGTTGCCTGCATCGTCGGTCTTGAAATCGATGCATTTCGGCGTAGTACGCCGACCGCAACGGCATTGAACATCTGCAAGACTTACGAAATTTCTAATAGAGACCTACGATCCGAGTGACGCAATATGATGCACCGAAAACCGTAGCCCGAAAGAAATGCAGGGGGTTCGGCATTCTGTAAAGCTCAGCCTACAAAAGCGAAAAATTCCCTAATCATGACGACAGGGTTCACACGTTCAACCCGACCTATTAGATCCTATGATTCAAACTCGTAAGGCACTGTTTCTGCCTGATGTGTCTTGGCAGATTTTTCCGCCAAATCCATGATAGCGATAACGCGGCGCGCCGACTCCGGTGTCACAAGCAACGGCGTGCCATCGTTTAAATGAGCGACGATATTCTGATAGTAGGTAGGTCCGGGTCTGCGATGGTGACCGACCTGCTGCTCTTTGGGCTGTCCCTTGACTTCGGATAAGACCTTAAATCCACTATCTTCGGCGGTAATCGCGCCGTGTGAGCCGAGCAGTTTCCACCGCTCTCCACCAATTTTCGCGATATTAGACATCTGGATATACGCCGCCGCTCCGTCCGCAACGACCTCTCCACCTGCGAACCGCACAATTGCTTGGACATGGTCTTCGTTGGTAATATCGTCCCAGACGAGGTTCGGTTGATAGAAGCCGGTGACGTTAATCATCGGTGTCTCAATGATATTGAGTAGCCAATCCAGGTAGTGGGCACCCCAATCGTAGAATTGTCCACCGGAGATCGCCTTGACACTGCGCCACCAATCTGGATTGGGTCTGCCATAGCCGCCACCCCACATCTCAACGCTAAAGACTTTGCCGATAACACCGGAATGAACGAGTTCGCGAAGCGTCCAAAAGTCGGCATCCCATCGTCGGTTGTGATGAACGGACAACATAACGTCGTTCTCTTTGGCGGTCGTAATCATTTCAGTGGCTTCTGCGATTGTGACGCACATCGGTTTCTCGACAATGGCGTGCTTGCCTGCTTTAAGACTTGCTACAGTAGGACCGCAGTGCAGACTATGCGGAAGGACATTCGCGATAAGATCGATGCCATCGTCCGCATTGAGTTCTTCAACCGAGTTATAGGTGCGGACACCCGGAAAATCCTCTTTCGCGGCTTCTGTTCGCGCCGGGTCGATGTCACAGATGGCAACACATTCGATGCCATCTGTATTTTGCATCATATTTGCGTGGGCTTTGCCCATATTAAATGCCGCTCCATATCCGAGGACGGCACCTTTGATGGTATCAGCCATTTGTTTTGGCTCCTTCTTTTTCTTGTATGAATGCCTTATTATAACGTGAGTTCGATAAAAGGCTTCTCCTTTTATGTCTTTGACAGGCGAAAATGAAACCTTTAGACGGACGAAATGTTTAAGTCGAACTGACGTTATTATAGCATAAACCAGAAAAATTCGTATAAAAATTACATCTGCATAGTCAAATGGGAAAAGCATTGACATTCCGAAAATTTGTGATAGACTCAACCGACGTTTACTGGCACAGTCGCGGCGGGATCGTATACAAAATACAACTCTGAAAGGATGCGGAATCTGTGTCAATACTACATACTATTATTTATGAGACGCTTTGAGGTAATTTATGGCAAAAGTTGGATTAATCGGGGTTGGCAACATGGGTATGGGGATGTCAAGAAACATCCTGAAAGCAGGACACGAACTCACAGTCTATGATGTCCGCCCAGAGCCGTTGGAAACACTCGTACAAGAGGGTGCATACGCCGCTACATCGCCGCGCGAAGTGGGCGCGGCGGCAGACACCGTCTTTATCATGGTCCTGAATGTCGAACAGGTTAAAGCCGCACTCCTTACAGAAGATGGGTTGCTGGCGGGACTCAAACCGGGAGGCACGGTCATCTGTACGGCAACTATCGGACGCTCACAGGTGATAGAGGTTGCTGAACTGGTGACAGAAAAAGGGTTTAATGTTGTCGATGCGCCTGTCAGTGGTGGAGCACCCGGCGCAGCTGCGGGAACCCTTACAATGATGGTGTCGGCACCACGTGAGACGTTTGAAGCATCGAAACCCGTGCTTGAAGCCGTCGGACGGGACATCTACCATGTTGGGGAAGCGGCTGGGATGGGTCAAACCGTCAAGTCAGCACTCGCAGTCCTAATAGGTGTCACTTATGCCGGTATCTTTGAAGCACTGACGTTGGCAGTGAAGGCAGGTGTAGCACCGGAAACACTTCGCGACGTTGTCAGCACAAGTGTTGTTGGGAATTTCCTTTTCAGGGACACAACACAAAATATATTGGATCGAAATTTCAAGGGACAGAGCAATATCGGCACAATGTATAAGGATCTTACTCTGGCGAAAAATATGGCAAGCGATTGTGGTGTGCCGCTTTTCGCTGCAAGTGCCGCTTTTGAACTATTTCAAGCCGGAAAAGCCGTAAATCCTGACGAGGATAACTGGACGATTATCAAAATCTTAGAAAACATTGCAGGTATTGAGGTCCGAAAAACGGAATAATTGCGCGACAGGGTTCTTCGGAGAGTGTTTCTTAGCACTTTTGAAGCCTACAAAGACAAAGGAATTGAGAGGGATTGAATGTTCAAATTGGGAACGATCACAGATGGAATCAGCCGGGACTTCGAGTATGCGCTCGATACGATGGTAGAAACTGGATTGGAATACGTTGAATTACAGTACCTTTGGGAAAAGCAGGTTGGCGATCTGACGGATGCGGACATAGAGCGAGTCAAAGGGTTAATCGAGGAGCGGCATCTAAAAGTTTCGTGTATATCGCATCACAATCTCACGGCACTTCCTGTGGATACGGCAGTTGATGCGCCTGCGTATCGTGGACACATTGCGACGTTACAACGATGTATTGATGTTGCCCAAGCACTTGGCACGAACTCGTAAGGATTTTTAGTTTCCGAAAAGAGATGGTGCTTTTTGGGGCAGAACCTGTTATCTCCGAAGGTGCATGGACGACACTCCTGAACAGGTTAGAGGAACCGTTGCGAATCGCCGATGCGGCGGGCATTACGCTTGTCATTGAAACCGCAATCTCCGGTAACGTGACATCGGCACACCTTGCGAGAAAGTTGATTGATGAATTAGACGCGCCGCATCTAAAAGTACTCTGGGATCCGTGTAGTTCGCTCTATTGTACCGAAATTCCCTATCCGAACGGCTACGAAATTATCCGCGAACACATTGCCCACGTTCATCTCAAGGATGGGGTTGTGAACCTCCCAGCGGCGACATTCGATTTCTGTGCGATGCGTCAAGGACAGATGGATCCTTACTACAATGACATCGTGAATGCGCTGAAACGGGACGGATACGACGGTGCGATCTCCTTAGAGAGCGTCTACACACCGGTGGGCGGGACACGCGAGGACGGATTTAGAGAATCGTTACCCGTCTTTATGGAACTCGTGGGACGATAGCAAGACTTAAAAAGGAAAAGGACGCAACCGATACATTTTGGCTGCGTCCTTTAATTTTTAACTATGCATGGCAAAGCCAAACATTACCTGGTTTTCAGGCTTCCCCAAGTTGTGAAGAGTTTCCCTGCAGGTTCGACGGAAACGGCATCATATCCAGGGTAAATATCCCACGTGCCACCGACACCGGCGAACATGCTCCAACCGCCGCCGCGTTCACTGACCTTCACCAACAGGACATTTTTACCTGCTACCAGGTCAACTGTGAAATCATCTTGGAAGTCGCCAGCCCCACGGTTGACAGCGTTTGTGTGAACCACTTCGCCGTTGAACCAGACTTTGACGGAGTCATCGCTACCGACTTTCGCCGGAACGCCATCCTGAGCTTCGGGAGCGTCAAGGATGATGAGTGCATAAGACGAATGGTCATTGACATCACCTTCGCCCAAGCCAATCTCATTAACGAGATCGTTGATGTTGTTGCCGCCGGTATCGGTGATTTCACCACGTGTCCACGCCAAGTCACCAACAGCGTCGCCTTCGTTGGCACCGTTTGCTGCGACATCGTCCTCAGTAACATCACCACCGCTGGCTTCAGCAAGCGAATCGATATCGGTCGAATTTGCGCCGCCTTCGTTTGCTGCAGTCGGGGCAATCACCCAGAGCCAGGGACCCGTAATTTTTCCATCTACACCACCGGGGGCTTTATAGACAGCATTCACGTCGGCATCAACACCGGCGAACATGCTCCAACCACCACCACGTTCACTGACCTTCACGAGTAAGAGATTATTGCCTGTTTGCAGGTCAACCTGAAATGTGTCCTGAAAATCACCAGCACCGCGGTTGACAGCGTTTGTGTGAACCACTGCACCGTTGAGCCAGACCTTGACAGAGTCATCACTGCCGACTTTCATATCCACGCCGCTCTGATCAGAAGCGGATTCAAGCGTGATGAGTGCATAAGACGAATGGTCGTTGACATCGCCTTCACCCAAGCCGATCTCATTGACGAGATCATTGACGTTGTTGCCGCCGGTATCGGTAATCTCGCCGAGCGTCCATACCAGGTCACCGACAGCGTCGCCTTCGCTGGCACCGTTTGCTGCGACATCGTCCTCAGTGACATCACCACCACTGGCTTCAGCAAGTGAATCGATATCGGTCGAATTCGCCCCACCTTCGTTTGCTGCGGTTGGGGCAATCATCCAGAGCCAGGGACCCGTAATTTTGTCTTGGGCATTGGCGACATCCGCCATAGTCATTGCAAAAAGCGTTATGAGGAATGCAAGCCCTATTGTGAACAGTTTTCTATACATGAAAATCCTCCAATTAATTTTTTACTTTTAAATCACACACGTGAAATCAGTGTTGCCCGTTCTTGCGGGGCGGATCGCGCCTCAATCAACGGATCAAGGCTACAATATTGCCCGACGCTTATTTTATTAAAGATAGGACAACCTCTTTAGGTTAGTATATCAAATATACCACAATTAAATCAAGCACAAAAAACTTTGTGCAGTTTTAGCCGGTAAAAGCGGTTCCGAATTACGAACACCCGGAACAATAATACCGACTCAAAATACCAACTTAGTAAGAACGTTTGACTTCTGCCCACTGCGTTGCTAATTTGCCAGCGGGTTCAACAGGAAGTCCCTTTGAACTTCAGGTTGTATTCCAAAGGAGCATCGATCCCAGCGAACATGCTCCAACCGCCGCCGCGTTCACAGACTTTAACCATAAAAACGTTATCGCCTTTTTTCAGATCCACCTCAAATGTGTCCTGAAAATCGCCAGCACCCCGGTTGACAGCGTTTTTGTGAACCTCTTCGCCGTTCATCCAGACCTTAACGGAATCATCGCTGCCGACGCGGGCTTCAACGCCAGCCTTCTTAACTTTTGATACAGCATTGATCACGGCGTAGGAGCAATAGTCATTGACATCACCCCCGGGTCCCAACTTAATTTTAATAAGCATGTCGTTGATATTGTTTCCACCCACAGCTGCAATTTCGCCTTCAGTCCACTTAAGTTTGTCTGGAAACTTGACTTTCAGAATCTTCTTTGTAAGGCCCTGTTCTGCGACATCTTCCTCGGTCAGTTTACCCTTTGTTGCGTCCTTGATACCGTCGTCATCTGTTACGGCGGCACCACCTCCACCGACGGGGCTCTCGGTGATTATCCACATCCAAGGCCCTTCAATTTTATCAAGGGCAGTAGCGAATTGTGCGATAAGAAGAAATCCGATAGCACACACTGCCAAAAACATAAATCTGCTTTTCATTTTTTAATTAACCTCCATGTTTTGGTTATCGTTTCTGTTCAACTAACGAAAGCAGTATAGCACAGGTTACCAGAAAAGTCAAATTAATTTTTTTAATTAATTTGAGAAACGTCTATCGGTTATTCTGTCTCTAACTGATTTTGGACACTGCTAACCTTATCATCCATTGTCTGCGTTCTGTCAATTCGGGTGCCAAACTTGAGCGTCGTTGTGATTCGGGGTGCACCCATCTCATGGACAACCTCATGGCACCGCCGAATTGCTGCAAATACAACATCCCACTCGCCTTCAATGTTGGTGCCGTAAGCGTGTAGTTTTGTCTCCAAACCTGCTGCCTTCAGTACTTTTTCACACGCAGTAACGTATTTCGAGACCGAGACACCGACTCCCATTGGAACAACACAGAGATCTGCGATAACCTTCATAGCGTCTCCCTTAATCGTTGCGTAATTGTTCCAAAATGTCGGCGGGTAAAGGTGCTGCACCCGAAGTCGCAACCCCGTCGTCAACTTGCGATGGGGTCATCATCCCCGGAACAACGTTGGAGACAGCTGGGTGCGCTAAAATAAATTTGAGTGCGGCTTGTGGGAGACTTCGCACTTTATTCCCAACGATCGACTTAACCTGTTCTACCCGCTCCAGATCGGCGAGAAATTTCTCACGGGACCACGTCTTTCGATAGTCGTTCTCCGCAAAGACGGTATCCGGCCCGAGTTGCCCAGAGAGCAAACCTGACGATAACGGCTGTCGAACAACAACAGCGATACCGTTCTCGGCAGCGGTTTCCATCACAGGGGTTGCCATCTCTTGGGTGAGAATATTGTAGGTGAGCATCAACGAAGAAATACCGGTTTCTTCTATTGCCTTTAGCGCATCTGCCTCACTTCCGAGACCCAACCCATAAAAGCGAATTTTGCCTTCGGTTTTGAGTTCCTCCATTGTCCCAAATGCGTCATCCCACGCCTCTGCAGACGGGGGTGAGTGGAATTGATAGATGTCTATCACATCCCGCTTCAATCGCGTGAGGCTCCCTTCAGCTGCCAGACGGATATAATCCGGTGAGACGTTGAACGATGGATGCTCCCATCCGTGGCTAATCCAGCCATCGGAATCCAATTCATAGCCAAGTTTCGTTGCAATGACAACTCTATCGCCGAGTGCTGAAAAAGCTCCACCGAGGAGTCGTTCAGCGCGGCCTCCGCCATATTGGTCTGCCGTATCGTAATAGGTAACACCACTTTCAAAGGCGTATCGGAGGAGATCAACGGCATCGACTTCACCGATGTCTCCCCATTCACGACCGCCGAGTTCCCATGTTCCCATGCCGATTCAGAAACGGTTAACCCTGTATTCCCTAATTGCGTTGGTGCATTATTTTCCCTTCGCAAGGCACGGGACCCTGCAGTATCGAAGTATTACGCATTGAATTTGTAATGTATTTTACGATATTCACGATTATTGTCAACAATTTTATCCTTTTCCGTAACTTGGAATCCCATTCATAAAAAACGAATTTAGATTGACAGACCACACTCATTTTTGATAAGATAGAGTTATTCATTTCCGAGGAGAAGTTGATGGCTAAAAAACGCGGAAAGTTTAGTTTGAATAGAGTCGGCACAAAGACAGAGCAGCATGCCGAGCGAGCCTTGCGGCTGGCGAAGTTAAATTCGCCTAATGCGGATCCGCTTGCATACGAATCGTTGTTGTACGTTGAACGCCGAGATCCGGAAAAATTTAAGGCTGTTATGATGGAGCCAGCAGTCGCGGCACTTTACGATCGGTTTGATGCCCGGAGGAAAGCACGCGAGCAGGCAATATTAGATGACTATGCAGCACGAGAAACACAGCGGGCAGCGGAACGCGTAGCAGCAAAAGCAGAACGGAAAAGACGAAAACTTGCCCTTAACGGCGAAGGCACACTGACAGAACAACATATCGACCGGGTGGAACGGCTTTGGTCTGTTCTGCGAGAGCGCAATCATAACATGTATCAATATAGAACGCGAGTTGCCTTGCCGAGTCAATGAAGTGGTTAGAAGAAAACGAACCGAATACATTTCTAAATCTTCTTGAGTCGCTTGACGACATGCCAAACGGTGATGATGCCTATTTTATCTTTGTTCGCCACGAACTCAACCAGGTTCAAAAACAGGTCGCCGCGGCACATGAAAAAATAGATATAGACATTCTCGCGCCGACAGGAAGAAAAAAAGCACCAGCAAACTTGAAAAATCAGGCGATAGGCAGGGAACGTGAGATATATGAGGATGACATCACCGGGACCGAAGGAATAGAACCAAATTAGACGGCAATATTCGACCTCTTAAAAGGAAAACTTTGATGAAATTATTGGTCACGGGTGGTGCTGGGTTTATCGGTACCAACTTCATCCGATACTGGCTACAACACAATTCGGACGATGCAATCGTTAACTTTGACCGGCTGACGTACGCTGGAAATCTCTCCAATCTGACGGACATAGCGGAAACCCATTATCCAAAGCGGTACAGGTTTGTGCACGGCGACATTCTGGACTTTGCCCTTGTGGAAAGCATTCTGAAAAAAGAGTGTCCGGATGTAATTGTCAATTTCGCTGCGGAGTCACACAACAGTCGGGCGATTCTGCATCCGCGGCGTTTCTTTGAAACGAACGTGATGGGGACGCAGGTGTTACTGGATGCGTCTCGGAGTACGGCGTGCAGCGGTTTCATCACATCTCTACGTGTGAGGTATATGGTGAACTGCCTTTAGATTCACCCGATAGGTTTAGTGAAACCGCACCCTATCGTCCACAGACGCCCTACAATGCCTCTAAAGCGGCAGCGGATCATCTCGTGAACGCCTACTTTCATAGCTTCGGTATGCCGATAACGATTTCCAATTGTGCGAACAACTACGGTCCGTATCAGCATCCGGAGAAACTCATTCCGCTCTTTGCAACGAATGCAATCCAAGATTTACCGTTAACGCTCTACCGAAGCAGTCATAACCGACGCGAATGGTTGCACGTTGAGGATCATTGCCGGGCAATCGCGGCAGTTCTCGAGTACGGCAAAATTGGCGAGACCTACAATGTTGGGAGTGGCGTGGAGAAGAGTATTGAAGAGATTAGCGATTTCATATTGGATATTCTTGACAAACCGCAGCATCTGAAAACTTATGTTCCTGACCGACCCGGGCATGATTGTCGTTATCTCTTGGATTCAAGCAAGATCGCCCGTGATGTCGGGTGGAAACCGGCTATCGCCTTTGAAGATGGCATGCGCGAGACGATTCGATGGTACGTCGAAAATTGGAAATGGTGGCAGGAAATTCAACAGAAAGTAGATAGTGAAATGGTTCAAGAGGATAAATGGGAAAGATTCACAGAGAGGTAAACACTATGCAACTCACAACGGAACAACTGGCAACATGGAAACAGGATGGAATAATCGTGGTGCCCAATGTGTTTTCACAGGAAGCGACGGCACCCGCTTTAGAAGAGATCGAACGAAATGCTTACGATGACTTGACTTATGCCGAATATCGTGCGAAATGGGACGCACAGCCGGATGCCCTAAAAAGTGCTTATGAGAAAAACGATGCGATGCAACGACTTGCCGGTCCCTTCGGTAAGGCACTGCATTTTCCGACGGGTTTAGAAGCGGTAGACAAACTGCTCGAAAACGAGGCATACCTCGCAATCGCTCAGCAACTGTTAGATACGGAAGAAATTCGACTCGGTTATGGACAAATATTCTTCCGAGAAGGGCTCACCGATAGCCGTCATAGTGAACACCCATGGCAGGGTTACCACATTGACAATGCGACGAACTCACCTTTGCCCCCGCACCTGGATTGGCAACGGTACGGATATATTTTGTCCGCTATCTTTCCACATGACATCGAATTGGACGGTGCGCCGATGCTTGTCTGCCCAGGTTCACAGAACCAGTTGGATAAAATATGGGCGAAGTACCCGGGCAGAGCGGGCGGAATGGGTATTCCTGATCTACGGGAATTTAAAGGAGAACTCGCGGATCCGATCCCCCTTACGGCGAAAGCGGGGAGTGTTGCATTCCGTTCCAGTTACTTGGTTCACGCCGCACAACCCTTTCAGAACAAAAGTAGACAACGCGGATGGATGGGCTATCACTTCCATCGTGCCGACAATGACGATTGGTGCAAAACGACGCGCCCGGTGCCGGGTTGGAGTAGCCCAAACTACATGAAGTTTGTCATAAAGACGACCCCTGCCGTGCGACGCGTTTTGGGCTGGCCCGCTCCTGGTGATGCATACTATACACCGGAAGCTCTTGCACGTCTTGAGCAAGCATATCCGGGAATTGATTTGGAACCTTACCGGTAGATATGCGGTTTAGCGGGTTGTGAAGCGCGCCCACAAACAAAAGCAAACAAAGGGGACTATTTATGAGTAAAACGAGAAAAGTTTTGATGATGAATGAAGCCGGACGTATCTGGACGGAGAGAACAGGAAACGCCTGCGCCAAAATCGGGACAACTCTTAATTGAAGTTCACGCTTCCATGGTAAGTCCCGGTTCAGAACTTGGTGGTGTCAAACGGAGGCGCGAGACTTTTAATAGAAAGCCCGGGGGGGATTCTGAAACACGGCAACGTCCGTTCGGATACACGAATGCCGGTGTTGTCATCGGTAAAGAAGGTGATTGCGACGAGTTTGAGATCGGTGATAAGGTGGCTGGCATGGGTGGCGGATATGCGCTTCACGCCACGCACGCCTGTGTCCCACACAACTTATGTGCGAAGATTCCCAATAACGTCAGCGACGAAGAAGCCGCGTCTATTCATCTTGCGGCAACCGCACTTCACGCCGTGCAACGCGGGCGCATCCGTATCGGCGAGAATGTCGTCGTTGCTGGGTTGGGCATTGTTGGACAATTCGCATGTCAGATAGCCAGAGCCGCGGGTGCTTATGTTATTGGATTGGATAGGTTGCCGTTGCGGATAGGCATTGCTGAAGCCGCGGGGATACACCATGCGATAAACGTCTCGGATACAGATCCGATTCCGATCGCGAAGGAATTCACCAACGGCTACGGTATGGATTGTGGGATTATCGCCTTCGGTGGTGATGGAACAAGTGCGTTTCAGCAGATCCGAGCGACGCTCAAAACAGCACCGGATACCCATAAAGTGGGACGGATTGTTATCGTCGGTGGCGCGAACATTACACACGGTTTTGCGGCAGGTCTCGGCAACGTCGATGTGATTTCTGCGGCTCGTACTGGACCCGGTTACCACGACGAGGATTATGAACACGGCGCGGATTATCCACCGGTATTTGTCCCTTGGCCCACACAACGCAACTTAGAATTATCACTGCGGCTGATGTCGGAAGGCAAAGTCCAAGTGAAACCGCTGATTACAGATATTATTCCGATCGATCGGGCACCCGAAGGGTGTGAAAAATTGATTCAAACGCCGAATGAGGCATTAGGCGTTGTTTTCTCAATGCATGAAATAGTTAGTCAGGTTGTCAGTACGGTTTGCTCCGCAAACACCTCGACCGGGCAACATGACAACTATTTACTATAATCGTTAAAATATGGAAATTAGAGGCGCGCGAGCATCAGAATTAGAACAGGTCGTTGCGTTGAGCTGCTTAGCGTTTTAATCCCGATGGTCATGAACGCTATTGGCAGTATGTACGTGGGGGACAGCAGTTACAGACTTCCGCAAACCCGGGTTGTCGTTGTGAACGACAAGGTTATTTCGACCTTGCGCGTTTGGGAACGGCGGATGCGGGTCGGAGCATCCTTCGTAACGATGGGTGGCATTGGTGGTGTTTGCACACATCCGCAGTATCGTGGGGTTGGGTATGCATCTGCCCTCATGCGGGATACAATTGACTATCTGCGGATGACGGGATGTGACATCGGTGCCCTGTTTACTATCATTCCAGAGGCTTTTTATCGCCGTTTGGGATGGACGACCCTGCCGCTGCATGGTTTTCTCGTGCCGCGCAACTCGACAACGAGCGCAGAGTATCCATCCGAATGGGAGATAAGCACTTTCAACCCAGAAGCAGATTTAGATGCTGTGGCGAGACTCTACGACCTCATCAATGCCCAGCAAAGTGGAACCATCGCGCGGACGCGCGCTTATTGGGATATGGCACCCTCACGCATCCGTGGTGTTTTTCCAACCGTCGTTGCCCGCCGAGATGGACACATCGGCGGGTATCTCAACTATGAGATATACGAAAAGACCGCAGAAGTGCGTGAGGTAGGATACATCCGTAATAATCCAGGAGTCTTGGAGGCACTCGTATCCGATTTTCTGAAAGCGTGTGAAGCACAAAGAGGTTGAGAAGATAGAAGGTACATTCTCGCCCCAACACCCATTTGTAGAACGACTCACAGCAGGATGCAATGGTGCATTAACTTCGACAACGAATACGGCGATGATGCTCTACGCTGCGAACCTACCTGTGCTTTTGCGTCGCCTCGTCGTCGGGTGGGAATCGCGAATTGCGGATGCCGAAGAGACGTTTCCACCGCTCACTGTCAAATTGCCCGCTCTCAACAATCAACAAGCAGCCCTTCGACACAATGCCGATGGCACGCTGCAAATCGTTCCTGAAGATGTCGACGCTGTTGACTTGGGAATAGACTTAACCGAAGCAGATTTTTGGCAACTTCTGTTCGGCGAGATAGGGTGGGAGCAGGTAAGTTCCGAGGCTTCGGTATCCCCAGAAGTCTCTGCGTTTTTAGGCTTGTTGTTTCCTAAACGTGATGTCATCTTCTGGTCCCCGGATCGGTATTGAGGTAAATGGAAGTATGGGTAAAATGAACTCGGAATCTCGGAAACAGGGCACCCAAACCAGTGCATTCGGAACCCCCGGCAGAATCAATCACGATGCCAGTGAGTTTTATGGGAGCAAACTCTACGCCGATCAGGAACCTCCGAAACCCGACACGTGGACAGAAAATCCTATTCCTACTGAAAACCTTGATCGATTCTATTGTGCATCCAGTGCAGACATGTCCGCGATTCCCGATGCCAGCGTTCATCTGATGGTTACGTCTCCCCCGTATAATGCGAAAAAGGAGTATGACGAGGATCTGTCGCTCGCGGAATACAGAGAACTCCTCTACGCTGTTTTCGCCGAGACCTATAAAAAATTGGTTACCGGTGGCAGAGCGTGCATCAATATCGCCAACTTAGGACGGAAACCCTATATCCCGTTGCATAGCTACATTATAGAAGACATGTTATCAATAGGGTACTACATGCGGGGTGAGATCATCTGGGATAAAGCTTCAAGTGCTGGTTCCTCAACGGCGTGGGGAAGTTGGTTATCGGCAGCGAATCCGGTGTTAAGAGACGTTCATGAATATATCCTTGTCTTCTCAAAGGATTCATTTTCTCGGAAACGCAACGGGAAAGAAAATTCGATCTGCAAAGAGGGCTTTTTAGAGTGGACAAAAAGCGTTTGGACGTTTCCGTCTGTCTCGGCGAAGCGCATCGGGCATCCTGCGCCTTTTCCTGAGGAGTTGCCGCATCGGTTAATCCAACTCTACACCTTCGTAGGTGATGTGGTCCTCGATCCATTCTGTGGAAGCGGTACCACGTGCCTGAGTGCCTTGAAATCAGGAAGACACTATATTGGGTACGACGTTGAGGAGAAATACGTCGAACTGGCAAATGAGCGAATCAAGCAATATACCGATCAAGGACGTTTGCCAATGTGATAGACTTAGCTCAAAACCGATAGTGCGTACGTTTTCCGTGCCTCTGTTCCAAACGTGACAACCGACTCCGATTGCTCTGTTTCAACCTGCACACCATCACATGTCACCGAAACAGTTGCGGCTGTTCGGACAGTGCAGTCTTCTCCCAATGTGGAATGCAGGTGTGCCTCGGTGAGTTGTCCATTCTCCCATGCCATTGCCACTTCAAATCCGCCGCGGGCACGCAATCCACTGGCATTTCCTGTGCCCCACGCCTTCGGAAGCGCGGGCAATAGGTGAATCTCATCCGCGTGGCTCTGAAGCAACATCTCTGCGATGCCGGAGGTTCCCCCCGAAATTTCCATCGATTTGGAAAGGTGGATGTGTATCAAGCAGGTTCGTTAAGGTGCATTTCGCCAGAAGTGCTTGGAGATGCGTGTACGCCTCCTCGGCATCCTCAAGCCGTGCCGAGAAGTTGACGAGCCATGCACGGCTCCAACCCGTATGTCCACCCCCGTGCGCCAAGCGATATTCCAACGATTTCTTTGCCGCGGTTGCTAACTCCGGTGTCCCCCGCAGCGTAATCTGGCAACTTGGGTGGAGTGCATACATGTGGGACATGTGCCGGTGCCCGGGTTCCGGTTCGTCGTAGTCAAATGCCCATTCCTGCAAACCGTCCTGTTTTCTCACTAATCTGGAGCGGTGCGAGTCGTTCGAGAGCGGAAACTAATTCAACACGGAATTCGGCATCTTCCTCAAGAACATCAATGCAGGCGATGCAGTTGGTAAAGAGTTCATGAATAATTTCCAGGTCCATCGTTGCAGCGTAGGTAAAAAGGGAGCGTGTGCCATCAGGCTTAGGAAGCTGTTTTCGGGTGAGTGTGACGGATTCGTGACGAGTTTACCAGCGAGAGGCGTGTCTTCGGGTGCCTCAACGAGAAAATCCAGTATGAAGCGGGCGGCACCTTTCATGAGTGGATAGCCCTGTCCTATGAGAAAATCTTTATCGCCACCGAAAAGATAGTGTTCCCACACATGTTCACACAGCCACGCGGCACCTACGGGCCAGATACCCCAAGTGCCATCAGCAGGCGTTGTGAAACCCCATACGTCAGAAAGATGATGGACGACCCAACCGTTGGCACCGTAATGGCTCTTCGCTGTGCGACTCCCCGGTCCAACAAGTGTCTCCATATAATCGAATAAGGGAATATGGCACTCCGCAAGGTTGCAGATCTCAGGGACCCAATAGTTCATTTGGAGGTTGATATTGGTATGGAAATCGCTATTCCAAGGGGCGTTCATGTGCTCGTTCCAGATGCCTTGTAAATTTGCAGGCAAGCATCCTGGTCTCGAACTTCCCATCATCAAATAGCGTCCATACTGGAAGTAAAGGACAACAAGTTCCGGATCCGATGCGCCTGTTTTTACGGCTTCCAAGCGCTCGTCGGTAGGGAGATTCGCAGCGTCGGTAGTGCCGAGATCCAGATGCACTCGTTGAAAGAGGTCCTGATGATCGGCAATGTGATCTGCCCGAACTGTCCTATAAGATTTTGCGTCAATATCAGTGAGATGACCTTCGCAAAGCGCGTGCGGGCTTCCACTCGCATCCTTCTGATTAATGTAACTTGTCGCAGCAGCGAGAAGAAGCGTCACGCGATTTGCGTCACGCACAGCAAGCTGGTCGTTCTCCGACTGGACCTTCCCGCCCTCAATTTGCACCTGTAGATACACTGAAAAGTGCATTCCATCATTACCACATTGCCCATCCAATCTAAGGATATTAGCGGCAATTGCTTCAACAGTGGCATCTTGTTCCCGAGTTATCGCGATATCGAAAGCGAGTTGCCCTGCCGTGCCGGATTCAATTCTAACGACAATGAGGTTGTCTACCGCTGTCGCAAAAACTTCTCTGCTAAAATTGACATCTCCGCAGCGATAGGTTGTCTTTGCAATACCTGTGTTCAGATTTAACTCTCGGTGATACTCAGTAGGATCACCATCATGCGAAAACTCCAGAAACAGATCGCCCAAGGATTGATAGGACTTGATACGTTCTGGTACGCCAAGCATCGTCTCACCAGCGAGTTTAGTGGCTTCTTCGTTTTTGTCATCAAAGAGCAACTGCTGCACCTTCGGGAGTGCTTCCAAAGCATTTGGGTTGTTGGTGTCGCGGGGACCACCGTCCCAAAGGGTTTCTTCGTTGAGTTGAATACGCTCTCGTTCCACACCACCGAACACCATAGCACCGAGCCGTCCGTTTCCAATGGGGAGTGCGTCTGTCCATGCCTCGGCTGGTTTCTGATACCATAAAACAAGATTATTTGTGTCTGTGTTTGTCATTAGCTTCCCATGATTCTTTAGAGATCACCTACCGAACAAGGAATCACCAGAGATTGTATCATTGACTTCTTTAGCAAAATGTATGATTAGATCTCTGGACATTTAAGTGTGACCACCGCTCTCTGCTCCGAGGCGGGAAATCGCCATCAGAGACAGTCCTTGTTCCTTTCAGGATTGGTGAAAGTTGCGTGATACCTTCAAGGCTCAACTTACCGGCGTCATTTTCTGCTGTAGCGATCCACCTATTTTAAGAATTAGTTTATTTCTTCGCTCTGACAGCGTAACACCGGTTGCTGCCCGGATGAAAAGACGATTACCATGACCATCCCCTTCGTTCTCGGTGACGGCATAGTATCTTTACTGCCTCATGCGCTTTCCTCTCTGCCGCAATGTGTAAAGGCGTATGACCTTTATCATCCTCAGCGTTAGCATCTGCGCCACTTTCTAACAATACCAACGCCGTTTCATACGCATTGTGCTGCGCTGCGACGTGCAAAGGTGTATCGCCATTTTGGTCCCTCACGTTGATATCTGCGCCATTTTTACCAATGCCGTTGCCACCTCAGAAGTGTCGTCTTCTGCGGCAATGTGTAATGGGGTACAATCACTTTTGTCTTTCGCGTTGATATCTGCGCCATTCTCCAGCAATACTACTGCTGTTTTATAGGCATTACGCCACGCTGCCCAATGCAGGAGCGTATAACCAGATTTGTTTCTGGGGTTGACACCCGACTGGTCTTCCAGCGATATCCCTTCTGCCTCATAAACATTGCGCCACGCTGCCCAGTGTAAAGGTGTGTCGCCATCTTCATTCCTTGCGTTGACATCTGCGCCATTTTTCAGCAATATCGTTGCTGTTTCATGTCCATTATTCCACGCTGCCCAATGCAAGGGAGTAAAGTTCTTATCGTTCTTTGCGTTGGCATCTGCGCCATTTTCCAGCAATACTGCCGCTGCCTCATAAGCGTTGTTCCATGCCGCCCAGTGCAGGGGAGGATAACCGTATTTGTCCTTTGCGTTGGCATCTGTGCCGTTTTCCAGCAATATCGCCGCTGCCTCATAAGCATTGTCCCGTGCCGCATCATGCAGGGAAGTATAGCCAGGTTTTTCTGCCGGGTTGACTGGACGCGCAACGTACTTAGATGTTGATGAATCTACCCTTTTTGATGTATCAGATAGGTTTCGTTCGTGATGCAAAACAGGCACCTCCTTTTCGATTCGGGTAATTAATTCTTAAGTGTAACATATATTCAGGTAATCACCAAGCAGTTTGAAATCCATACGTTCCCAAGCACAGTTGAAAATCGCGCCAACAAAAACGAATTCAACAGAACAGCACGTTGGAGACTGCGCTTACCGCTGCCACGGGACATGCCCAGCCTTTTGCGTTTCCGCCTGAAATAATTGACTCATTTCTCTAAAGAGGTCGATCTGTGTCTGTGAGCCGTTTGTCGTTTCCAGTGGATCGTCTGACAAATCGTAGAGCTCCAGTGCCTCAAAAGGACTATTGTGCAACAATTTGGTGTCCCCACGCCGTACGGCGTGCTGACACTGCCCGAGAAACCGCTGTCCTCCCTCTCTGCGTAACCAGTAGAGGATGCGGTCAGAGAAGTCTTGCTGTTCCGCTTGGAGCGTTTTCCAAATTGAACGTCCTTCGATCTCATGAGCGATCGGTGCACCTGCTACCTCACATACTGTTGGGAAAAGATCCATCAGCAATGCAACCTGATCGGTAACATGTCCTTCTGGAACGTGCCCTGGCCACATTGCGCACGCCGGCACTCGAATGCCGCCTTCGTACATTTCGCCCTTTTGACCGCGCAAGGGACCGTTGTGTGCTCCAACGTCTATCGACCCACCGTTGTCAGAAGTGTAAATAACGAGTGTATTGGACAACTGATCTGTTTCAACAAGCGTATCGAGTACTCGCCCAATACCAGCATCCATGTGCTCGACAAGGGCAATGTATTTGGCGCGCTGCGGGGAAATATCCGGCTCGCGTTCCCGCACCCGTTCCACCCAATCGTCAGGCGGTTGGATCGGTGTATGTGGTGCATTATAGGCAAGATAAAGGAAAAAAGGCTGTGATGATTGCGCTTGCGCACGAATGAAATCTACACTCCATTCCGTGAAGAGATCTGTGGCGTGTTCCTGCGGATCGATCGTGTCGAAGCCGTGTCGCATGTAATTGATGTCGTGCCGAAGATGCGTGTAGTAGTCATCCATCATATCGCCGAGAAAGCCGTGGAAACGGTCGAAGCCCCGCCTACACGGATGATTCTCCGGTTCAAGTCCAAGGTGCCACTTACCGATAAGTGCGGTATGATAATCCTTCTGCTTCAAAACTGAGGGGAGTGTGACTGCATCCTGTCGAAAGTAGCCCCAACTGTCTTCTGGATGGGTGCGGATTACGCCCGGCACCCCGACTCTGTCTGGATAGCGTCCAGTCATAAGGGATGCTCTGCTGGGGGAACAGACGGAGGAATTCGCATAAAATCTGGTAAAACGCATCCCCTCTGTAGCAATTCGATCAATACTCGGTGTTTGAATCGACGGACCGTTGTGGGCCGAAATATCGCCATAGCCGTGGTCGTCGGCGAGAATAAGAAGTACGTTCGGTGACTTCGCCATAATAATCTCCACATTAACCTAAGTTGCTACCTTAGCAAAGCAACCCAGATTATATGACTAAAAAATCGCATCAAGTTACGCTTATTTATTACTTACTAATGTCCTAATATGAGTATCATAGTCTGATGGGAAAAATAAAGCAAGATGAAAATAACATCATTCATAAAGCGGCAACATTGTATATTCGTTAATCCACTATTTCACACCATACAGCAGGAACACCGAGCGGTGCACCAACTGGGGCGGTTTGGAGGTTTGCGACATCTACGTTCTCCAAATTGGCGATCACTATTGAGAGATTGGTGTGTGCTTCTTCCAGATTTCCTGTCTCAAGCCTGCCATGATCAATGTCATCAGATGCCTGACGGTTCAGTTTTCGTGCGTGTTCAATATGCTCAGTCATCAATTCTTACAGCACCTATCCGAAAATGAGTGCAGCCAGTCGTTCAGGTAACGCACCGGCTGCACTCGGTTTACCTTGCCTATTGCTGAGATTTGAGGTTTGCCCATGTAGTGGCAAGTTTGTCAGAAGGCTCAACAGGCAATAGAGTCAGCATCCCTTTTTCCATTAGTTCTTCTATATCCTCTGCTTCCAGTACGGAATCGAAAATTGCGACCTCATAGAGTATACCGTCAAGGGTCTCTGAGGTGTTGTTGGTCCAACCACCGATATTGACATCAGTCTCATTCTGTGGTGCCGGTTTACCCATCCCGCCAACAGAACCGATTTCCTCAGCATTTTCGTAAATCTTGATGGTATCCTTTGCGTCATAAGTTGCGGTCATATACAACCATTCATCTTTTTTCACTTGACTTTGATTCCAAGCCCCTTTCCAGCCGCCGTTCGCAAAGTAAGCTTCCCAGCCGGTGCCGGAGCTGCTTGTCCTGAAGGCATAATTTGCCACTGTACCCCCCGCGGGTCTTTTACCGAGAATATGTCCATAACCGTTCTCGGATTTGTTGACATACACCCATGAAGTGATTGACCACGCCTTTTCCAGATACATACTGTCGGAGTCTGGAATGATAACCCGATCATCTTGTCCGTTTAAACTTAGGGCAGAACCATCTTGTCCTTTGACCCATTTTCCGCCCTGGAGTTCACCGTGGTTCTCGTTTCCAGAAATATCGTTAATTTTATCACCTTTACCTTCGTCGAGTAGCCAAATTCCTCTTGCGCTTTCAAAGTCGATCTTCGCATAAGTTTGTACTGTGAAGGTCAGACTGATGGTGATGATCGCTAACCAAAGTTATAATGGATTTCATTTTTACCTCCTAAAGGTTGAATTTACCATTAAGGGACGTTTTGAAAAAGACTGTGTCACTCTAACTGAAACCAATCAACCTACTATACCAAATTTACCGCCTGAATCAGAGCGATGAAATATCCGAACTGGCATGTCCATACCTGTCGGATTCTACCAGAAACACCAGGCGGCGATGTAACTGGGATACGATGACGCGAGGTCGGGCATCAGCATGTGCGAGTATTCCACTTGCGCCGGCACCCGATCCTGTTGGGATAGCATCCAGTCATGAGGGATGCTTGACTTGGAGAACAGGCGGAAACGTTTACATAAAATCTGGTAAATCGCGTTCCGTCTGTTCTCATCACATCAAATTGTCCTTGATCTATGTTATCACATGTCTGGTGGTTAGCAATTGTGCGCGTTCAATATTCAGCGATGCTATTTCCATAAGGTGAACATCTGCAAAACGGATGCGGTTAGGTGTTCAGGTGACACACCGACTTCACCCAATTTGTCCAACTACTATTGAGATTTGATGTTTGCCCATGTAGTTGCGAGTTTGCCAGAAGGCTCAACAGCCGTTTCGGACGATAGCCCCTTGTTCATCAGGGTGTTTATGTCCTCTTCTGCCAGCACGACACTAAAAAGCGCGACCTCATAGAGCATGCCGTCAAGGGTCTCTGAAGTGTTGTTTTCCCATCCGCCGATGTTGACCTCGGCTTCATCCTGAGGTGCTGGTCCACCAAGCCCGCTAACAGAACCGATTTCAGATCCATTTTCATAGATCTTGATGGTGTCTTCTCCATCATAAGTTGCGGTCATGTACAACCATTCATCTTTCTTCACGCTTCCTTGATTCCAAGCACCTTGCCAGCCGCCTCGCGAAAAGTATGCTTCCCAGCCGCTACCATTGCCGCTTGTCCTGAATGCGTAATTTGCCACCGTTCCAGATCCGGGTCTTTTGCCGAGAATATGTCCAAAACCGTTCTCGGTGTTATTCACAAAAGCCCAAGCAGTGATCGTCCATGCCTCTTCCAGATACATACTATCGGTGTCTTGGATGATAACCCGATCATCTTGTCCGTTTAAACTGAGGGCGGGACCATCTGGTCCTTCGATCCATTCTCCGCCCTGGAGTTGACCGTGATTTCCGTTTCCAGACATATCGTTGATAACATCGCCATCACCTTCATCAAGTAGCCAAATTCCTCTTGCGGTTTCAAGGTCGATCTCCGCATAAGTTTGTACTGTGAGGGTCAGACTGATGGTAATGATCGCTAAACAAACTATAATGGATTTCATTTTTACCTCCTATGAATTTACCATTAAGGGACGTTTTGAAAAAGACTGTGTCCCTCTAACTGAAACTAATTAACTGACTATACCGAGTTTACCGCCTGAATCAGAGCGATGATGTATCCGAACTGGAATGCCCACGCCTGTCGAACCCTACCAGAAGCACCGGGTGGCGATGGATCATCTGGATGCCCTGGTGCGTGGTCGGGCATTAACATGTAGGGGTATTCTACATCTCGAAGCGTCTCTGCAACCTTGTGCATGTCCAAGTGTCCCTCGTCGGGCCATACCTCTTGGAAGTTGTGCAGTCCGCCGCGAATATTGCGAAAGTGAATGTTGAAAAGTTTCTTCTGCTCGCCAAAATAGCGGAGGATTTCGTAGAACTCAGTGCCTGGATCATCTAAACCCTCTGACACTGTGCCACAGCAGAAATTAAAGCCGTGATACGGGCTATCCACAATTTCAGCGAAACGTTTTAAGCCGTCAAAGATGGGGTAATTCCATCGTTCAACGCCTCTCAGAACAGGCGCGGGTGGATCGTTCGGGTGGCACGCCATCTGGATTCGGTTTGCCTCAGCGACGGGGATCACACGCTCGAGGAAATACGCGATCCGATCAAACGCTTCTTCGCGACTCACCTCACCCGCCTCTGAAAGCGTTTCGTTATCGTATTTGGAGAAGTCAAACGTGCTGTAACTTGAGCCGCCACGTCCGGGTGTACTCTCGGTCCGCTGATGGTTTAGGATGCAAAAATTATAATTTAATCCTCGCAATCCAGCCGCTGCAGCATTCTCGATTATTTTGCAAACGGCATCAATATCCGTATCGCGCTGCGGATCTTGGGCAAGCGTAATGCTCCCTGGAAGCCCGATATGAATCATCTCAAGACTGACACCCGCTTCTGCCGCTTCCGCTTTGTGTCGAACCAGCGTTTCGGTTTCAGTATCCCCAACGGAGGCATCCATGTGCGTTACACCGTGGCGTACGAGGAATGCCAACTCTTTAGGAGATGTTCCGATGCCTTGAACACCGACGTGCATCGCCGCCTTTTTATGTGGTTGTTTCTCAGGTTTATCCATCGTCTCGTTCTCCTTTGACAATTGAATGTGCCGTATCAACTGTCGGACTAAAACGGTATCCGCGCATGTAGCATACTTAAAAAACTAAGTCAATTCAAAATGAGAACAGCGTTAAAATTTGTGGACATTCAACCATTTCTATGCTATGCTAAAAACCACAAATTTCATGAATATTACGCAACTGAGGAGAAATGATGGCTAACGAAGACTACACTTCGCGTGTACCGTATTATACGTTCGCGGACACACTGGAAGAGCAGGAAGCACAGCTGGAGACGAACCCGCTGATGCAACGGCTCAACGCCTATCGGAAAACGTATGAAGGCGATCCACACCGTCCGATTTATCACTATATCAACCCTGAAGCGATGCTCAACGATCCGAACGGTCTCTGTTTCTGGCAGGGACGATGGCATCTCTTCTATCAGGCGTATCCACCTGAAGATACACGGCAGCACTGGGGACACGCGATCAGCGACGATCTCATCCACTGGCGCGACTTACCCTACGCGATATATCCGAACCCTGAAAGATGCTGTTTCTCCGGATCAGCACGGTTGTAGAGGAAGACCGCGTGATTGCGATGTATCACGGAACGGTTGTCGGCAATATGGTAGCAGTGTCAAGCGACCCGTTGCTTCTCAATTGGGAAAAAGTCTCTGACAAAGCGGTTATCCCTTCGCAACACGCCGATGGCACCACACCGGTCTATCGCGTTTTCGACCCGTGCATCTGGAAAAAAGACGGTATGTATTACTCGCTTTCGGGTGGCACACTCCCACACGGACCGGCCCGGTAAACGGGTACGTGCGAATTTCCTGCTCCGCTCAGCAGACCTCGCAAACTGGGTCTATCTACATCCGTTCATTGAAGATGATATGTACACTTTAGTCGGCGATGACGGCGCGTGTCCTTACTTTTGGCCCATCGGCGACCGACACATGCTCCTTTTCTTCAGCCACATGAGCGGCGGACAGTATCTGCTCGGTGATTATGATACCGAACGCGACAAGTTCGTCGTAACAGCAGGTGCGAAGAACAATTTCGGAGCGGCATCTCCTGCGGGTGTCCACGCACCTTCTGCAACGCCTGATGGTAACGGTGGATTGATCGTCATCTATAACATGAACCCTGCCAAGCCTACCAAAGGTTGGAACCAGATCATGACGCTGCCGCGTCGCCTGACTCTTCTCTCCAGAGATGAAGTCGGAATTGAGCCGGCTGGCGACATCGAATCGTTGCGGTATGCACATCAGCGTGTCAACGCGATGACACTCCCCGCAAACGAGGAGGTCGTGCTGGAAGGCATAAACGGCAACGCGATGGAACTTGAACTCGAAATCGACCCAAAATCGGCACCGATGGTTGAACTAAATGTCCTTCGGTCACCGCACAAGGAGGAGTTCACCCGCATCGCCTTCTTCAGAGAGCGCGGTATGCGCAACCCAGATGTGCCCGATCGCGTTCGCGACAGCCTGCTCACGATTGATTCATCGTATTCATCAGTCGCGTCGGATGTCCTTTCACGCGCCCCGGAAACCGGAGCCGTCTCCATTGCGCAAGACGAGACTCTGAAATTACGGGTATTCGTTGATAAGAGCGTTGTGGAGGTCTTCGCGAATGGGAAGCAGTGCGTGGCAATGCGCGTTTATCCCGACAAGGAAGAGAGTGTCGGCGTGTCATTGCGTTCGCAAGGGCAAGCCTGCGAACTCAAATCCTTAGATGCCTGGCAGATGCAGAACATCTATGCTTAATTCCCAATAGGCACCGCACTTGTGCACGTTATAGTAGGATTTTAAAGCGGATACAGGTTTTAGGCAGATAAGTCAATGAAAAATCAGTTTGATTTTTCATTGACGATGTTCGTCAAATTTGCTATTATCAGAAAATTGATCGAAGAATGCATCTGATATTTTGTTTCTCACTCTGAATGCTTTGAAACCAATAGGGAGATATTCCGATGATTAGACAAATTCTCTTTTACCTATGCCTCTGCTGTGTATTCGCATCTCTATCTTATGCCCTTGATACCCCTAAAATCTTTACAAAAGATAATGTGCTCGCTGCGGGGTGTTATAATGACGGATTTAGCAGTAGTGATATGACACTGATTATACAACTCACTGTCGGAAGGGATGTTATTTTTGACGAGGGCGTTGAGGTGAAATATCATGTTCCTGACGAAGACGTTGATGGTTGGACTGAACTCGGATTTAACGATACAAACTGGAAAAAGGACATCACCAGCATTGGTTATGGTGATGGTGATGACAATACCGAAATCAAATCAGGTGAGGTTGGCTCACTTTACACGCGCTATCAGTTCGATGTGCCTGAGGCAGTCACATCGAAAAAAATTATGTTTCGGATTGACTATGACGATTCCTATATCCTGTGGCTGAATGGGGTTGAAATCGGACGTTCAGCCAATATCGCAACACTCTCTCCTGTAGGCGAAATTCCTGTATGGGATGTGTCGAAAATTGTGGATTCGATGCCCGATGTTGAAGCAACGAAAGTCCCGAAAGGAAAACCGAACAAAGATCGTTGGAAGAAACCTGTCACACCCAGAGAACGGGATGTGCACGAGACCATTCATGAATTTGAGATTGATGTCAAATTTGGTGGCGGATCAGCGTTGTCGGTTGAAGCTACAAGCAAATTAACAACGCTATGGGCAAGACTGAAAGGTTATTCTGATTGACAAGAATCATCCGTTTTTTTGCTGCTATTTCCCTATTTGATACTGGGGACTTGACGCTGAATTCTGGGCATCAGTTTCGAGTCTCCTGCATCCCCTGATTTCCGAATTACCCATTATGCTCACCTAAAGGAATATGAAATATGTAACGCCACTCCTTCAAACATCTCCATTCAATACACCGCGGATTTAGATAACGTCAGAGAGGTTACACTCCACGGCACAGCTGATTTATCGTTCTGGGAAACGGTGTTGCACGCGGAAAGTCTATTTCCATATCGCCAAGAGGATAAGGCAATCCTGTCTGCTCAGCGCGATAGATGCTAAGTGGAGGGGATTCAAGTTTAGGGAGTTTGTTATCGCTGTTGGGGTTTGTCTTAGCGAAAATGGAACGAGTTTGGACGGCTATTATTTACCACACGCATTTAATTCGTCCAGACTCTTGCTTCTCGGAAAGGGTGTTTTTTCAGACGCCCTATTTTCAAGGCGATATCCAACTTGAGAATAAACTTCCTGCTTCTATCAGATTGTGGGACCGGACAGAAGTTCTCCTCGACGCAGAAATGTCTGTCAGGGACGTGCTTCCGACAATTGAATATCAGGAATGGAAGGTACCTGTCTTTCTTCCAAATAGCCGCGGTAAATTCTTCGCTATTCTCGCGGGTGAGACGGAGAGTTATCCGTTCTCACCCGCTACGGATCGCTTTGAACTCAAACCATCGCCGCGCCATCCAATTTTTCAGCGGCTTGTTGAAAGCAATTTTGTCGGCAAGACATGGAGCTTGAGAAGTAGCTCCCGCCACGCAAAATCAAAAACTTATAAGCGAGATTTTGAATAAGGGGTAATCCGATATGGCAGAAGTTTTAACAGCAAGTTTTGGCTTGCAAGCTGCACCAAAATGGGAAAAACTCCGAGGTAAAACCTATCCCGATACAGAGTCGGAACAGTTCACTGCCCTTGAAACAGATGAGACGGTGCACGATTATAAGAAACGGAGAGAGGGGTGGGCATCAGATCCGTACCGTCCCATCTATCACATGTCTTCTCTCTACGGGTATGGGGGATGCGAACGGTCTTTGCGAATGGCAGGGTAGGTATCACCTGTTTTATCAATTCGGTCCGCCGGATGTCAATCGGGTGCACTGGGGACACTGCTATAGCGAGGACTTGGTGCACTGGCACGATCTACCGCCGGCGTTGTATCCAGATACCGAACTGCACTGCTTTAGCGGTCAGTGTCTCGTGGAAGATGAACGGGTTATCGCTCTCTATCATGGCAAAATGTCGGGGAATAGCATCGCCACTGCCAGCGATCCACTCCTACTCAACTGGAAAAAGCATCCGAATAATCCGGTCATTCCGAATGTCGAGACTAACCAATACGAGCAGCCCTACAACGTCTTCGATCCGTGCATCTGGAAAGAAGAGGACGGGTATTATTCGATCTCAGGGACATCGGCGAACGGTTGGATTCGTGAACGGCGCAGATCTGCTTCACACCTCTTTTATTCACAAGACCTGACCCACTGGGAATATCTCCATTCGTTGCTGATTGACGATGTTTTCTGCGACTTGGGTGAAGATGGGGCGGTGCCAAATTTTCTGCCTATCGGAAACGGTAAGCACATCCTGCTCCTCTTCAGTCATAAGCGTTCGGCGCGCTACTACATTGGTGAATACGACTATGGGACACACAGGTTTACACCTGAATACCACGGTAGAATCAACCACGGCACCTTCGGTGGTGGGATGGTCTCCTGTCCCTCTGCGACGATAGATTCACGTGGTCGCCTCATCGCCATTTTAAATTGCTCTGATGGCAGGCAGAGTGAAGAAGCCGCGTCGGGTTTGTGCATGACGCTTCCGTGGCATCTCACGCTAAAAGAGGACAACGCGCTGGCGATGGAGCCGGTAGAAGAGGTGAAAAATTTACGCGCTACGCACACTCGCCTCACGGATATTGCGGTGTCGGCAAATGAAGAACGCGTCCTTGACAACGTAGCCGGCAAAGCGATTGAAATAGACATGACCGTAGAGATCGGGACAGCACGGGAATTCGGGTTGTATGTATTCCGTTCACCAGATGGCGATGAACGGACAAAAATCTCTATCTACAACCACAGACACGGCAAGACTAACGATAGTTTGCAGATCGACACATCCTATTCCTCCCTCCGTACAGATCTTGTCGGTAAACCCCCAGAAAATGCACCGTTCCGTCTGAGCAGTGACGGCAAGGTCCGTCTTCGCATCTTCCTCGACCGGAGTCTTATTGAAGTCTTTGCTGACAACGGGGAA